AACAGGTCTACGGGTTATGAGCTCACAGCTCGATTGGCGTAGAGCACGAGTACCACGCTGACGGTGGGAGGGCATCTCCAGGTGTTCAATGGTTTGCTACTGCCCGCATCAAGCCAGGCAGCCCCTGGTCAAATTGGCGCAAATCCACCAAAACCCACCTGCGTCTGGCTGTGGTCGCAGTTGCGTATCCTACTACGGTCGCAAAACATAAGAATCATTCCAGATCTCCAAAGAATGCGTGTGATAGCCCTCAAGCAGATTCCAATCTGTCTCTGCAATCACATTCCCGAGCTGGATCCGCTCCCCACTGCCTTGTGGGTCAGGCTATTGAGCCAAAGGCTCCGGGTGGAGTCCCTCAAGCAAAGCACCAAATCACCCACTACCTTGTGGGTCAGGCTATTGAGCCAAAGGCTCCGGATGGAGTTCCTCAAGTAAACCACCGAAGCACAACGACCACCTCGCGTGCGATCGCCCACCAATGCAATCGTATGCCTGCGCGCAAAGCACTCAGCATCGGGTGCTGGAACGTGCGCACACAACTGGACAGGAACTCCAGCGAGCGCCCAGAGCGACGCACTGCACTGGTCGCGATGGAATTGGCGCGTTACCACATCGATATTGAGGCGCTCAGTGAAACTCGGCTCGCAGAGCAAGGAAAGTTGAATGAAGCAGGTGCTGGTTACACATTCTACTGGGTGGGCAACACCGCCTCAGCCCCACCTGATCACGGGGTCGGATTTGCAATATCCGATCGCCTAAATGTCCAACTGATGGGTGAACCAACAGGCATCAATGCGCGACTGATGACTGCTCGCCTACGACTCGGGAGAGGTAAGTTTGCCATGTGTTATCCTGATATTATGCGTGGTCGATTCTACACTCAGCTATTCTCCGAGATATGTCTGTGCCGAAGAGCGACCGACTATTTGTGAAGGGTGATCTCAACGCGAGCGTTGGGCGCGATGCATCGGTGTCGAGTAATGTTGTCGATCCGCATGGCATTGGTTCAGCGAATGCGAACGGTGACAGGCTGCTCTCACTGTGTGCCACTCACGGCCTGACGATCAGGAACACTCGGTTTGCACTGAGTGCGAGTGATATAGCAACTTGGACGCACCCACGGAGTGGTCACGCTCACCTGCTCGACTATGTCATCGTACGTAAGCGTGATATGCGTGAAGTGCGCATGACACGTGTACTGCGTGGAGCTGAGTGTGACACTGATCACAAATTGGTGCGAACCAAACTGTACATATATTTTCGTAAATCTATGTATTGCACTCCTGCCGTGAAACGACGTAAATTTCACATTCTCTCTCTCGGTACTGTGGCGAAACGTACTGAGCTGGAGAAGACGATGGCTGCACGCCTGTGTGGTTATGTGGACTGCATAGCCACAGTGGGCGACCTGTGGCACCACATTCGCGACCAGGTGACAGCTGCTGCCGAGGAGACCATCGGGGGCGCAAAATGTAAGCAGCCTCATTGGTTTGATGAGAATAATGCGACGAAAAGAATGCAGCAATTGCTGCACCTGTGGCAGATCCCTGTCACTTGGGGAAGAAGAGAAAGTTTGGCAGAATTCGATGACCAGTGACCCGAGAGCTCCGTCGCATGAAAAATGCATCGTAGATGAAGAAGGCGATGCAGATGGAATGCTACGCCGAACGCTGCCAACACAAGGAATTCTTTGACTCCTTGAAGGCGGTGTATGGACCGAGATTGGAGCCGCTGAGGACTCTACTGGTTGGTAGTTCAAGCACTGCCTGCACACAGACTGCAGACATAATACAGATTTGGCAAAAAACATTTTCTCTCTTGAACAACCGTTCAGAGATTGACTGGTCTACGTTGACTGGCCTGAAGCAGCACGATGTGAAGACAAGTCTGGCAGACATGGCGACACTGGATGAGATGTAGTGAGCACTTGCTCAGCTGCGAAACGGCAAGTGTGTCGGTGACGACGGCACCCCGCCTGAAGTATTGAAACACAGCGGACCTGCGTTGGTTACTGCGCTGCACCACTTGGTGCAACGCGTATGGATTGAGAAGGAGGTGCCTCCTGAGCTGAAGGATGCCCTTGTGCTACCACTGTACAAGGGCAAAGGTAGCAAGCAATGTTGCACGAATTATCGTGACATCAACTTGCTGAGTTGTGTGGGCAAGGTGATTGCCCGAATCCTGCTCAACCGCCTCGTCAGTCAAGTTGTGGAACCGAACGCGGCGGAAGAGCAGTGTGGATTCCGTTCGGGTCGCAGCACTATAGATATGGTGTTTGCGGCTCGTCAGTTGCAGGAGAAGTGCAGAGGAGGACACCAGCCATTGTACTCGTTATTTGTTATTTCACCAAGGCATTTGATACGGTGAACCGCGAGGCATTGTGGCTGGTGTTGGGTAAGTTTGGTTGCCCGCGTAAGTTTGTAAGTTTAATTGAATGTCTGCACAGTGGTATGCGAGCGAGGGTGCAGCTGAGTGGAGAGACCTCGGATGACTTTGCAGTTGTCACTAGTGTGAAGCAAGGCTGTGTCTTAGCTCCTGTCCTGTTTAATATCTATCTTCATGCAATGTTGTCTTGTGCTTTTGATGCGGCTTGTGCTTACGGTGTTCGTGTGGAGCACCGTATTGATGGTGCATTGCTGAACATCCGTCGTTTCGGTGCGAGAACTCTAGTCTGTGAGACAACTATCCGTATGTTGCTGTTTGCTGATGACTGTGCGTTGTTTGCACACAGCGCGGATGAGTTGCAGCACATGACTAGTGCTCTGGCTTCGACAGCGGCCAAATTCGGGCTCACCATCAACACAAGCAAAACTGTGTGTCTCTTTCAGCCTTCACCGGAGGTGCAATCTTCAATATTGCCGCGAATCAGGATTGGTGCTTAAGTATTGGAAACCACCTCCCGCTTCTGCTACTTGGAGAGTGTGATGTCGACTGACCAGCAGCTACACAGTACGCTGCGAATCCGCGTGTCGAAGGCAGCAGTGGCATTCGGGAAGCTAGAGTACCGAGTGTGGAACAACCATCAGCTTACCATTGGCACGAAGCTGATGGTGTAAAAATCCATGGTGCTGTCCGTTCTTCTATACGGCAGTGAAACGTAGACGATGTACCGGCGGGATGTGCGGTATCTCGAGCGGTTCCATCAGCGGCGTTTGCGACGGATCTTGCGCATCAGTTAGGGCGGTAGCGTTGCCGACAAGGAAATGTTACGATAAAGTGGGATGTATGCAGTGGACTGCATACTTTTGCTGAGACACCTGAGGTGGATGAGTCATGTGGGCCGTATGGGAGTGTTGGGAAGTGGCATGGGGGGAAAATGAAGCTTCGTTATCAGGAGACGATCAAATTGAGCCTACCGCTTTCTAATATTGATTTCAGATGTAGGGAATCGAAGGCGGTTGATCGGCGTGTATGGCGCGATTTGATCACGAAGGCAGTCGTCAAGGTGCAGCAGAAAGGCCTCATGCATGCGGAGGAGAAGCGGCAGGAGCCGATGGGTTGTACTCCATCGACATCGAGCGCATGGCACGGTAGCACATGCGGTCGCCAGTGCCCGAGTCAGGCAGGTCTAGTGAGCCATGAGCGAGGCCACTCGGGGCCACCACAGAAACGACGACGAGTCATGTTGAGAACGTAGACAGGACCGGCGTAGCGTTGGTGGGTAGGTTACATTCGCTTTACTAACCGCGTGTTTGCATACTGTGTGGCGCATGCAGCTGGTGACAGGAAGCGAAGTAGAAAGCGTGAGGTAAGCCCTGACTTTGCCCAACGTGCGACTGCAGAGATCCTTCAGGATGGTTACAAGCTTGTCGGGCACATCTTTACATAGTAGACAGTTGCACAATGCAGATCTATCTACTGAGTCAAAAGCCGCTCGGATGTCCAAGAACACCAGGATTGTTGACCGTCGGTGGACGTGACGGAGTTCAAGAAGTTGGCGGAGTGTGAAGATGTGATCAATGCAACCTCCACCTGGACGGAGGTGGAGAGAGCCTGTGGAGTAGAACAGACACGAAAACCTTGGACGCAACATAGATTTATGAAATGCCGCGGTAATTAGTACAATCCTCGTGGTAGTTTTTCATGTGAATGGGGACAATGACCGATTCTCCCCATGCAATTGGGACTTTCTCGTCAATCCAACATCATAACAGGCGATGGGATGTAAGTCTACGAATATGATATTGAAACGAAGGTGCAGTTGTCGTTCAAAAAAGGAATGAATGAGTCGGTCAAAGATCAAAGTGGTGTTGGTTGTTTTTCGACTTCAAAGGCACTGTCCATCAGCAATTCGTACCACGTAGCCAGATGATAAACAAGGAAATCTACCAGAGAATTCTAGCGCGTTTGAGGGATGCTGTGCACAGGAAGTGGCCTGAATTGTGGTGAAAACTAGACTTAGGTTTGTTTCAAACGGTGTAAAGACGGTCAAGTAAACAAGTTGTGCCATAAACAACAAAGATTTATAGCAAAGGTTCGGTTTGTTCTTGAACACACCTTGTACCTCCATGAGGATCCAGTTGACCAAGATTGTTCTTAGCACTTGCGCTGCGGGAAAATTAGGTTTCATAGAGTTCGCGCCTAATAAGGCACGGAGATAAGAGCATGAGAACTAGAACCGTAGTTTGCTTGTACACAAAAGCGGATACACCGACGCTTCATGGCTGCTAGGGCAAACCATTAGAGGGAGTGGAGAACTCAAGAGTTATCACAACTTGACGAGAGGAAGTGATTTGTAGGGAGGGAACAGGAAACTGATAAGCAACAACATGGAAGAAACGGAAAATTCAAGTTGGTGAACATGGAGATCATTCATTGTGGGTTTGAAGGAAGCCAGACATTCGGAAAATAGAGAGCAAAGGTTGGAAGCGGAGTTTGAAATTAATCCGAAGTGAGCACTTAGAAGAGGACGCGAAATGATGCAGAAAATACAGAAATTGATACACCCGTAGGTGGTCTAAATAGTTCATGGGGGATCGTGGGAAATAATGGCCACTTACCTTGACTGTCTTCCTCGTCCGAAACACCGGAACTAATATCAGAACCTGAAGCTGCTTCAGTGAATAATTTGCCTAATTGGATCTCCCTTTGAGGACGCAAAAGAGTGACGAGAGCGATGAGTATATCGTCGGCGATGTCGAACCGCATCAAGTCGCGAATAAGTTCAATCACTTAGGGGGAAAAAGAGAAGACACATGGCATATGGACGATCACGTATAACGGGGTTGTATCATGTGCTTGCGAACAAGTAGTTGCAACCGGACAGACACATATACACCAATCCATAGTATAGCGGGGTAATGAAGTCACGAGGTTCCAAGTCTGGACGATGAATAGTCAATTTGCTGGGCACATAGTCAAGGAAAGGGACGTACACGTGATCTGCCTCTCATTAGACATCAAATAGGCTAGACAGAGCGGTATAAAAAGCTGACAATAAACCACAATAAATCAAAATCAAACGTCACAGGGAGGTATTCACGCCAACTGTTTGCAAGTGCGCAATCAGGTGATCCGAAAAAATAAATAACACCATGGCTAGCAAAGCGTACGAGGGCGGGCAGCATTGGTAGGAAAAAATAGAAGTTGTGACTGAACAGAGTCGTTCTACGCTGAGCACATAAAAGCAATGTTGCAAGAGGAACGAAAACATTAAGGATACTGAAAAAATGCCACGAAAACTGTCAGAATGCAGTAGCACGCTAGTCCTCACTGTGCCGAAAGCACTCAGGTCAAAGTGGGCAATTGTGATTGGAACCGAATCATCATCATCAACATCGTCGTCATCATCATCATGATCATCACCACCATCATCATCGTCAACAACAACAAGGGCAACATGAAAAAATTTCGACAACCGCTACCGATGATTACTGACACACAAACACAAGTACCCCTAATGAGGACGTCTGTTCACAGGAAATCGAAACAGTTACATATTCATCTGACTTGCTTGGATGCAAGCATGCTGACGACGTCGTTCTGGGATTTATTGTTCAAGCGTTGAGACAGCTTCCATGCATCAGAGGACTAGATGAGTTATTTTCGGTTGTTCAAACCCAATTGAAAATGATAACTACCCGATCAGTTCTAGATGCATTTCAAGATATGGAAAATTTGGATGAGATTGAACTAGGGTTGTGGTCATGGTTCCTCATTCTAAACGCTTCCAAAGGTTGCGATGAAATATCCGTTTTTCTGTGTGCCGAGGAACCACGAGCTGTCGACAACGCCGCTACCTTGTGACGGTGAACGAGCAAATCTTAGACAAATTTTCAAGCGATAAATATATCTGGGGTCTTTCTAATCGGTCTGTAAATGTCGGTCTATAAATGTCGTCAAAAGTACTTTGTATGCCATCAGACAAAATGCATTCAGCATCACGCGAATTATTATTCAAATTCCATCATCATCATCATCCTCCGCATCATCATCATCATCAGTATCATCATACACGTTAGCTGCAGGTGGAAAACACCTCAGCTATTGTGCCGCAATACAAAAGCCCAGAAAAGGAAAACAAACAGTGGCATGCCGGCTGAGTCCCCAGTAACGGATGGACATTTTTTCGGAGAGCTACAGTGCCGTAAAAAGAGAGTATATTATGCCCAACGAGTGAGATCTTGATGGGAGGGGAAGCTAAGCAGGGGGATGGACAAAGGAACTCACAACACAAACGCCATTGGGGTCGGCTCCAAGCCATATCAGCAACTGTGTCCAACCAAACGTGTTCATCGTCCTTAGGATCCCAGCCAGGCAGTCGGGATGCACTAACCGACGCCAACTTCGAAGTGAAGGTTTTCATTTCTCTCGACCAAGTCATCGCTTGGCCTCCCCTCCTCCTCTTCCAACCGCATACACAACGCGCGAACAATACAAGTCGCGGGAGTTGGGGTGCTGGCGTGCGCAACACGCGGCCAAGCCATCGGAGCCTGGTGCGTGATATAATGGCGCTCAGCGGTTCACTCGCTCTTCCTGCACCAAATACGCGACGTCGAACACGCTCATTGCTCACGCGGTGCTCGCACCAGACGAGCTAAGCTGCGAAGGCAGCGATGATCGAATATGACGAGCCCCTTTATGTCTGTCGACCTGATGGGCCAGGTTTCCCAACCATATAGGAGAGTTGAACAGATGGCTGCGTTATAAACTCTGCCCTTGAGGGCGTGAGTAATGTCGCGTCTGCGCCACAGGTGGCGGAGATTGGCAAAAGCACCTCGAGCTTTCGCTACACGGTTCGTAACCTCATCTTCAATCCCACGGGTGCTAATATAGCTGCCCAGGTACTTGAATTCCTGAATGACTTCTAGCAGATCACCATCAGGCGTTAGCACAGGGGTGGGTCCCTGCCAATCTTGGAGAAGTATTTTGCATTTCGATGGAGCAAAGCATAGCCCAAAACGATTGACAGCCAGTGCTAATCGGTCCAGTGCTCTTTGGCATGTTTGGGAGCTGTCACAGATTGGGGCAATATTGTCCGCATATTCTAAGTCAAGAAGTCGGTCACCAGGAAGTAGCTCCACACCTTCTAGGTCGTGTCCAGCGAGCGTAGTTTCCATGACTTCATCAATAGCGAATGTAAAGAGGAAAGGTGACAGCGGGCAACGTTGTCTCACACCGCTGGTGATACTGAAGGGTGGCGACAGTTTGCCATAAACCCTCACCCTGCCCGAACTATGCGCGTACAGTGCCTTGATAATGTTTACATATTTATCAGGCACACATTTAATCAGCAGACAGTCCCAAACGGCACATCGATCGACTGAGTCGAAGGCACGTTTTATGTCAAGAAACACAACAACGGTGGGTCGCCAATAAACATGGCGGTGCTCCAACAATTGACGCAAGGTGAAGATGTGGTCGATGCAGCCCCGACCTCGACGAAATCCGGCTTGCTGAATGGTTTGCATACTCTGTACGAATGAGTAGAACGAAGCAGGTATCAATTTTGAACGCCTATAATGCATTATGAGGGCTGTTGGTCATCTAGAGAGTCCCACATATCAGACAAGTAGCTCGAAATGCTTTTTTCTTTACTACATATTCCACAAACCGCACGCATGACTGATCAATACTGACACCAAAGTCCATTGATGAAATTTGCTGGTGAATTTCGCTGTTCTTGCACCCAACATCAATTTATAAATAAAGATGAATTCGGATAGAGCAGTAAAGTTAAAACCATCAACCCGTCCAGGACCAGATGGCATCTCCCCATCTGTTATAAAACTCGGAGGAAAAAACCTCACTCTACTGTTATTAAACATCTTCACACTCACTCACTACCGACTGCTTTGCATCTCAATGGAAGCAATCCATTATAATGTTTAACCACAAGGGTGGCCCAAGTATTAGTGTCAAGCTACCGCCCAATAAATCACACCTCTGATGTTTCCAAATCCCTAGAGCGAATAGTCAAGAAGAACAATATCTTACAAGACTGGATCTGATCAACCCCTCACAGCATGGCTTTCTCTCAAAATACTCCTGGGTTACATGTCAGCTACAATATCTCGATCACGTCACAACTATGATTGACAGAGGAATGGCAATTAGTATAATTCTGTTGGACATGCAAAAAGCGTTCGACCGCGTGCCGCACAAGCCACTGCTGTCTGCTCTAGTCATATGGAATTGGAAATCCTCTGCTTAACTGGTTCGACTCATAACTAAACGGTCGAACTCAGGTAGTTAAAATCGGTCAGCAACATGCTACACCGAATCAAATAACCAGCGGTGTCTTCCAGGGAAGTGTACTCGGACCGCTACTTTTCTTAAGCTATGTAAACAATATATGCGACCCGATCAAACATGGACACCCATTTCTGTTTGCAGATGACGTCAAATTGGTTTACTCATTTCATCCAGACCAACTACAAATATACCTGGAAAACATCTGTGAAGACCTATCCGCATTAAATATAGCTAGTGAACGTTTATTACTGCAGTTCTCTGCAGTGAAATCCCAAGTACTTGGGTACAGATGCCGCATCCCAGAACGCTCTATCACATTTGCCGGAAACGTGATCCCAACGTCTGATTCAGTTCGGGACTTAGAAATTAGGTACTCCAACTCTTTCAGTTCCTCCGAACATGTACTTTATCAGGTAGCGAAAGCAAGGCAGTTATGCGGATATATCACTAGAACTTTCTCCCTACCTGAAACACGACTTGAATCATTCAAGACAATAGTACGACCGACGCTGGAATATTGTACTATCGTTCACAGCCAATTGAGAAAGAAAGACAGAACGGCTCTGGAAAATGTCCAACGATCATTTACCAAGCTGGCCACTGGGCGCTACTCAAAGTATTACTATTATGATTATGATTACTATTATGACTGCTGTCAAAAACTCCAACTGGATCCTCTTTGGCTGAGACACTTAAAGAACAACCTCGTTCTCTTCTACAACACTATAAACCAACGAATCTACGCAGACAGCACAGCACTTCAACTACGGAAGGCTGCAGTCCACCCCACACATAATGGCGGCTACTTGATACGCACAAAGCTTTCAAGTCATAAAACTCGATCGAATCTCTTCTTAGTGAGATACACTGATCTGTGGAACAAACTACCCCTACATATATGCATGAGTGCAAGCTATGTCACATGTCGAAATTCCCTACAGACGTTCCTCACTATATCTAATGTGTTGAAGACCTATGATTCACAGCAAACTCTAGAAACATTAACAGAAGCTGGTATAAGAAACATACGAGCAGATATTTGCTTACGACTAGCTAACTTACTACACGTCATTACCTATATCAACAAGTCCTGTGTCTGTGCAGCCTAGTATCCCATCCCTTATATTATCTACTCTTGAGCCCCACAAATTAGAAAAGGATGGTACAAATATCCGTAAGTTTTACATATTACGTGCTCCGGTCTAGGACCCGAGGAAAAAGAAATCATGATCCGAAATTCTATTATTAAACTTTTCTTTACTATTATGATTTACACCGCACAAACCATGAAACATATTCACTTTACAAATGATCGCTCTCACTTATGGGGCCGTGTACCGTCTGTCGGTAAATATACAAATTTAGTTATTTTTATTTATATCCCAGATTTGCGATACGCAACGTTCCCAAAATGGGTATGCACCCCGTCTGATATGAAATATACATTCATGCAT